AACAAAAGCAAATTAAGGACAGCTAGATCAGGAGTGAACCATAGAAATGAAGATCACATGGAGGGTTAGCAACAGGGGAGTGGGAGAAGGAGAAGGGGGGAGAAGGTACAGAAAATAAGTAGCACAGATAGAAAATAGATAGGGGGAGGGTAAGAACAGTAGGGTAAATATAGAATCTAAAGAACTTGAGAAACGTGTTCATGAACTAAAGGGGGGGAATCGTGGGGGAGGGGTATGCAGGGTGGAGGGGAATGAAGGGGGGAATAGAACAAATGTAATGGCCTAATCAATAAAAAATATATATTAAAAAAGGAAAGAAAAAAACAAACAAAAAAGAATAGAATTGAAAGTCAATAAAGAAACCCACATGTTCATGCTCAATTGATTTTTGGCAAGAGTGCCAAGAAAATTCAATGGGAAAAGTACTGTTTTTCAATAAAAATGGTTTTGCAACATTTGGACAACTACATGTAAAGAATGATGTTAGAGCCCCTACTTCATACCATATTTAAAAGTTGATGTGAACCTAAAACTAATCTACAAAATGAAGTCTATTTAAAAGTGGGAAAAGGCTCAAAATATATTTTTATCTGTTATATTTTTATTCAAAAAGATTTTTATCAGAATGTAAAACTCCGTAAAAAAATCCATAGTCATAAATGTTGATGTCATTTTCTATGGATTAGGTAATGGTTTCCAACGTATGACATCAAAAGCACAGGTAACAAAAGTAAAAAAAATTGAATGACATCAAACATTTAAATTTTTGTGTTCCATAGGACATTGTTAAAAAAAAATAAAGAGACAACTAAAAAATTTCATCATGTTTTTATGATTAAAAACTCTCCGCAAAGTGGGGACAGAGGAAACATACCTCAGTGTAATAAAGGCCATATATGACAAAACCACAGCCAACATCATTCTCAATTAGCTCAAACTAAAATTGTTTCTGTTAAGCTCAGGAACAAGACAGGGATATTGCATTTACCACTTTTATTCAACGTAGTTTTGGAAGTCCTAGCCACAGCAATCAGACAAGAAGAAGACATAAAAGGCATCCAAATTAGAAAGGAAGAAGCAAAACTGTCATTATTTGCAGATGACATGATATTGTACGTAAAGAGCCCTAAAGAACCCACCAAAAAACTACTAGAACTGTTACATAAATTTAGTAAAGTAGCAGGATACAAAATTGATATTCAGAAATTGGTTGCATATTTATTGGGTTGGCCAAAAAGTCCACTTAAGTTTTTTTGTATAATAAAAGACACATTTTTTCATTTTCTTAAATATATTTAATTGATTATGCCATTACAGTTATCCTATTTCCCCTTTCATTCCCCTCCACCCTGCACACCCCGAACCATTCCCCCCTCTTTACTTTATGACGTGTCTCAAGTTCTTTAGATTCTATATTTCCCATACTATTCTTACCCTCCCCCCTATCTATTTTCTACCTACCATCTATGCTACTTATTTTCTGTACCTTCTTCCCCCTTCTTCTCCCACTCCCCTGTTGCTAACCCTCCATGTGATCTTCATTTCTATGTTTCCACTCCTGATCTAGCTGTCCTCTAGCTGTCCTTTTGTTTTAGATGTGGTTGATAATAACTGTGAGTTTGCTGTCCTTTCACTGTTCATCTTTTTTATCTGCTTTTTCTTAGGTAAGTCCCCTTAACATTTGATATAATAAGGGCTTGGTGATGATGAACTCCTTGAATTTGATCTTATCTGACAAGCACTTTATCTGCCCTTCCATTCTAAATGAAAGCTTTGCTGGATAGATTGCTCTTGGTTGTAGGTCTTTAGATTTCATGACTTGGAATACTTCTTTCCAGCCCCTTCTTGCCTGTAAGGTCTCTTTTGAGAAATCAGCTGACAGTCTGATGGGAAGTCCTTTGTAGGTGACTGTCCCCTTATCTCTTGCTGTTTCTAGGATTCTCTCCTTCATTTTAATCTTGGCTAATGTAATGATGACGTGCCTTGGTATGTTCCTTCTTGGGTCCAGCTTCTTTGGGACTCTCTGAGCTTCCTGGATTTCGTGGAAGTCTATTTCCTTTGCCAGAATGGGGAAGTTCTCCTTTATTATTTGTTCAAATAAGTTTTCTACTCGTGGCTGTTCCTCTTCCCCTTCTGGTACCCCTATAATTCAGATGTTGGAACGTTTAAAGTTGTCCTGGAAGTTCCTAAGCCTCTCCTCATTCTTTTGAATTCTTGTTTCTTCATCCTTTTCTGTTTGGTCATTTTTTCCTCCTTCTGGTCCACTCCTATGATTTGAGTCCCAGTTTCCTTTCCATTAGTATTGGTTTCCTGTGCATTTCCATTCATTTCAATTAGTTTAGCCTTCATATGTTGCTGTAATTTGTGACTATAATCAACCAGTTCTGTGAGCATCCTGATCAGCAGTGTTTTGAACTGTGCATCTGAAAGTTTGGCTATTTCTTCATTGCTTAGATTTATCGGCTCTGGGGCTCTGAGTTGTTCTTGAGCCATATTTTGTTCTGTGCGTGTCTCAATGCTCGCCTCTTCACTGGTTTATCTGCGTGCAAATGCATATAGCCAGCAGTGCCTCTTCCCTGGGTTCTGCCTGTAGCTAGCCCACACCTGGGATCCGCGCCCCCTGGCTGCCTGTACACTGCCCGGATCTTTTTTGCCCAACCGGTTCCGCTGCTGGTTTCACCCCTCTCACCGGTTTAGCTGAGTGGTCCGTTATTTCTGGACTCCGTATTCGATTTTCTGTGTGGTTTGGTTGTGTTTACTGTTGTTAAAACTTTGTTGTTTTTAGATTTGGTTGTACGAGGACGAAAAGTGTTCCCACCTATGCCTCCATCTTGGCGGAAGTCCTCCCCATCCTATTTAAAGCCAGGTCTCAAAGAGATATTTGCATGGCCATATTCATTGTAGCATTATTCACAATAACCAAAAGGTGTAAGTAACCCAAGTGTCCATCATGGTACATACATACAACAAAATATTATTCAACCTTAAAAAGGAAGGAAATTATGACATACACCTCAACATAAATAAAAATTGAAGACATTTTTAGGTGACATAAGGCAGTCACAATAAAACAAATATGTCTGTATGATTCCACTTACATAAGGCATCTTAGTAGTCAAATTTACAGAAAGAGTAGAATGGTGGTTGCCAGGAGCAGGAGAAAGAGGGATAGGTACAGAATTTGAGTTTTGTAAGAGAAAGAGTTATGGTGATGCTGCATGGCACTGTAAGTGCCCTTAACTATACTGTACAGTTAAAAAGGGTTAAAATGGTACATTTTATTCACAATTAAAAATTTCCCATCCCGTTCATCAAAGCTTACTTTCCACTCATCATATTGGATGGGCTCAACAGTCCATTTAGTTCTTCCTGTAAATAAAAAACCCATCTTTCATTTTCACCAATAACTTACATTGAGTTGGATATTTTCAGTATGTCAGCTATCTCCTACATGGTATAACATTGATTGTTTTCAATTAATGTCTTGATTTGATTGCTATCAACTTCAACTGGTCTACCCAACTGTGGGGTATCATCCAGCAAGAAATCATCAGCATGCAACTTTGCAAACCTCTTTGTACACGTTCCATCAGTCACAGCACCTCCTCTGTACACTGCATGATCTTACCTTTCTTGAAATAATAAAGCATAATAGGCTTAAAGTGTTGCATATTATCTTCCATCATCAATATTAAAATGGCCACACAAAAATTCACCAATTTTGGTTTTTTGAATGCACGCTGACATGACAGCTGTCACAATACAATCTAACAAAATGTTTTGAATTAAGTTAAAGACAGCTAAGTGTTATTTTTAGAGTGGTTGGTGATGTGGACTGTGAAAGAACTCACAAAGAAAAGAAAGAGTAGAGGGTAAAGATTTTATCCCCTTTCTAAGGAAGTAGAGGGTCATGGTGTGGAGTGATACAGCGGCATTGAGGAGTGGGGGCTTTGAGCTTTCATTGAATTATAATAGGAGTATAAATGGGTGGGGTGCTTGCTGTTGGGAAGCCCCTGAGCTGTTGCGGGGGGAGGGGGGGTTGTAACCTGAGGTTCTGGTTGATTTTTGGATAAGCTGCTGTTTGTACCAATGCTATCTTGTGCCTGTGGCTGTATGGAATGGTTAGTCAAGTTCTGTTCTTGGTTTGCGGTAATTTCCAGCTTTGGACACATAAGCTCAGAAGAGTAAATAACAATCTTGTTTAACAAGCTCACAAGCCTACTTGGCAAAAGGTGCCAAAACAGCAAATGGTACTGGCATTATCCTTTCTGCTACCAGAGCTACCTACAAAAAGAACAAACAAACTTTTTGGTCAACCCAATATATGCATTTTGCTATTTAGTTTGGTCTCTATTACTGCCAGTGTAACACCCACTTCCTGGGCCTTTGCCCTATGGCTTTTTCTCTGGAAGGCTTTCTTTATCATCTATTTTCAAAAGGGTGCTTGCGCTTTCTCCCAAAAGATATTACCTTTTCTGGATTCCAGTGATCACACACCCCTACGTCATTCCTATTTCTACCGACTACAGTCCTCTCCCGTTTCCGCACTACACAGAGGGGGCTACACATGGCTTTTTTGTTTTAACGTAGTCTGTCCAACCACAACATTTAAGCTCCAGGGCATTCTCATACCATTCTCTCACCCCTGTGCCAAAACATACACAATTCACCAGCGTGGACTGTGGTATAACAAGTGAAAAGTCAATGCACTAGACACATACACGGAGGGAAGTCAACACATACTGTTAAGGGTTATTTCCGGGAGGCAGTGTGTAATCGCACACAAGGCTTACAATGTCAAATTACTGAGGAGCACAGGGTCTTTAAGTGGCAAAAATTGGGTCCTTTAGGATCCTTAAATGCAGCCTTATAACTTGCGCAGCCGTACAACTTGCACAGCCTTCTGATCTCTGCAACACCTTCCCACAAAGTACCATTAAAGAGTTATTTGAGTTACGGCAGAAGCAGCGTTGAGTATATGATCAAGTAAAAGAGCTTACCCTAAAGGTCTTCCAAGACTCCACCAGGTAGGCCCGCTCCGAAAAGGGCAAAGAACCATTAAAACGTTCTTCTTCCGGTTCAAGAGTCTAAAAAAGGGAAAGGGAAGCGGGGTACGGAATGTCGCAGGGCACAATTTTCTTGATCCTAGTCGTCCTGTACGCGTGCGAACCAGAACTGAGAAGGTAAAGATTTCTCTCAGGTTTTAGACCCTCGACCGGAGGAAATTCTAGCCAGACGGTTTTTATTCTGGTTTCTCTCTAGCTGTATTCACAGTAGGGCTTTCTAGTGCCCTATGGGCGTTTAGATGCGATCCTAATTGTGTAGCTCGAGTTTTGTCGCAGGTTCCTCAGCGGCCCAACCGCACCCTGTAACCTAAGAGTCCTACCAGGGTCAACTGACGTTCTCTGAGGAGGCCAGCGCTCTCCGGGTTTTCAGTTTAAGGAGTCCCGCGCAGGCAAGCGCGCGCCTGGGCGGGGCATTACGTTAGAGAAGCAGCTCCTCTCTGGTCTCGGTTTACACTCTATCGTCCGGCTGGGTCGGTGGTGGTAAGGGGAGGGGAAAGGAAAAGGGAGAGTGCATTGCGCAGGCGCTCTCTCTGTCTCTCTTTCTCTCTCTCTTTTTTTTTTTTTTAATACCCGCACCAAGCACTTAACCTCATTAGGGTGGAGGAGAAGGCGGTGGCGGCCTGGTGAGGCAGTGGCAACTACAAGGAATAATATGGCTGTAAGTACCCGGTTAGGGCTAGGAGATTCAGACCCCAGTCCTCCCATGCCCCGGCCTCCTCCCCCGCGGTGGGGGGTGCTGGGACTGGGTGGGGGCGAACTCCAGTGTCCTCTTAGGCTCTTGTATACACTTTGGGTGGGGAGGGGGCTGCCCTAGCTGGGAAGCCCGGTGAGGAGCGGGGTGGGAGGGTTGTTTTTCCAACCAGTAGTTTGCTGCTTCCAGGCTGCTTTGCGGAGGTGGGGGTGGGGGGAGGCGGCGGCTGTGAGGTCAGCCTTGCTTTGTGTGCCCCTTTCCCTTTTCTTGTCCCAGACTCCACCCCTGACCTGAGTCACCCGGGCTCGGTAGGAGAAGCCGGCGGACCCCCAAGTCGCTTTTGAAAAGAGCCTGGAATTGCGAGGGGAGGGGTCAAGGGAGAGAAACCCGCTACAGCTAGTCTGAGAGTGATGGGTGTGGAGAAAGATCCGGAGGGAAGGGGTACGGGGGAGGCGGGAGGCTGGGGCTTCCACCCCAGCTAGACAAAAGCTGCGGCGCTGAGCCGAGCAGCGGGCCGGTGGGATGTGGAGGATCCCCTTGGTCCCTGGGGCCGGCAGATAGCTTCTTTCGGAACCTGTTAAAGCGGACAAGTGCTGAGTGAAGCCTTGTGCAGCCTCCTTAACTTGCCTTTGTTGTTCTTTGGTGTTGGCAGAGACGCTCTGATGAAGATGAGTGTGATCTTGCACATTAGCCTGGTTAGGTACAATGGAGCTAATCGAATTTTGCTTTCCTTTTGCCCAGCCGGTCGGATGACTATGAGGTTTTCCAGAGTCTAACTTATTACATAATGTTTTTTAAACTAGTTGTGTTTGTTTCTAAAGTGAAAAAAAAATTAGGCGGAGCCTTAAAGTATGTTTTGCTGCATCGGGGTGAGTTTCTTTCTTGGGGTTCATTCATTAAATATTGACCATTCGTAGAACCTGTGAGCTTTTTAAACACGATACTTTAGTTTGTAGATGTGGCAGTGAAAGCTTCAGATTCTCTAGTCCTTTGGGAGGCATTCTAATTTAAAATTTAAAATCTTATTCCTCCTGATGCAGAAGCGTGCTATGTGCCAGGCAGGTTCCACAGTAAGGTATGCATTCTGGCTTCAGAAGTTCTTTTTATCATTATTACTTTTATGAGATTATTAATAGTGACATATACTGAGCACTTGGTATGAGGAATCCTGGAGAGGGCTCGTTTTGCTCATCAAAGGAGTGGGAGAATAGTAACATTGACTCACACAGACCATATGTAATAGCAAAAGTAACATTACCGTGTCCCAGAGTTACTCAGTATTATTTATCTTCTCCATTTGCTAAGAAAAATTTCAGTTTCGGTGAGCTGTTTGCTTATTCAATTTTGTAAAATTGTGTAACTGCCCCCTCCTTTTAGGGAGGGAGATGTTACATCTCCCTTTCTGTAATTCATTGTTTATCTACTAACATGTAGCACTGTTTACATTTTTAAAGTTTTAGTTTTTATTGAGTTTTAAGCCATAGCTTTATATTATCTCAGCTAAGTTAGAAATCCTTTGAAGAGACTGTTGGTGGTGGAGGTATCAATATTGTATCTCTCTGTAATCTAAGTAGCAAATAAAGAAATATTGTATCTCCATGTTATGATCTGAGTGACATAAACTTAGATTTTTGTATTAGAACTAAAACCTAGATCTAGTGTATCAGGATTTTGGCTACAGACTCAACTTTATGTAAAAGAGGTAAGCATTTTTTGTACTATTATGAAGCAAAACTCTGACACTTGGTGTGTTGTGCTTCAGTAACTACTGTGATAGAATCTCGTCAGAGTAGTTCAGATGATGGGAACTTGCTTTTTATAGAGCAAGATTTCAGATCCTTAAAATAGTTTGACAGGGATGTTGAGAAATAATTTTGGCTAGGAGAACATTAAGTTTTATTGTTCAGATGTGTTACACTTTGTTGACTGGTTTTCGATTTAGATATTTTGCTTCAGTCTTTTGTTAATTTTATTTTCTTAAGTGATTCAGTCTCATAATTTATAATTGGGTGAGATAGTTTCTTGGATCTGAGACTTAAATTTGTTTTTTTGAAACTCTGTAGTCTCAGCAGTCTACTTAAAGTTATAGTTTTTAGGTCATTGTATAGTACTTTTATTTTGTAGTACTATTAGTAAATATAATAACCATTGAAGGGATTATAAATGTTAGCGTTCAATTATTAAAACCATCAGTTTGTCATAATAAATAGTGGAAAGAATAGATAGTAGCAAAAAGTAACAACTTTAAAAACAATCATATAAAAGATTTCCTAGCAAATAAAAGATCTATTAGTTGTAAAAAAACAAAACAAAAAACAACAAAAAACCACACACAGCTAAGTAAAGAAGAAATTACTGATTAAATAGTTTTTGGTTTATAAAGTATAATTTAAGAAATTAATGTTTTTATGTCCTGGCTGGTGTGGCTCAGTGCCTGCAAACCTGTCCATTCAGGATACAGGCCTGAGTTGGGGGCAGGGTCCCTGGTGGGAGGCATTCAGGAGGCAACCACACATTGATATTTCTTTTTCTCCCTTCCCCTCTGTCTAAAAATAAATACAATTCTAAATTAATCTTTTTTTTAACCCAGTGCAATTAGGATGACATTTGTGAAATATATGTGTAACTAAATGGTCTCTAAAGGACTTAAATTTTAGCACCAGAATTCACTAATTGTTTCACCACCCCAGGGCTTTTCTTCTCCTTCATACGCAGATCTCTACTGCCAACCCCCTCCCCCCCTGCAAATGTTCTGGCAGCTTCAGATTCTGCCTTTCCCCACAGATCCCTAAAGATCTAGCTCAATATGGTGGCATTTCTTCCTTAACATTTTTGTTGGCTTTCTTCCTGTGTCCTTGCTGTTTTCTGTTGTATATATTCCTTACCTTCCTCCTTGGAAGCTCACTCCTGTGCATTTACTCTTGTCTAGATCCTTGAGGGCACTGTGAGCTTGTAGAACACTTTGTGGTATCCTCTGTTCCTATATAAGGTTACACAAACTAGTCACTATGTAATGTACGAAAGAATAAATCAGCCCTGGTTGGTGTGGCTCCCTGGATTGAGCGCCAGCCAGTGAACCAAAAGATCGCTGGTTCAATTCCCAGTTGGAGCACATGCTAGGTTGTGGGCCAGGTCCTAGGGATGCATGAAAGGGAACCATTGATGTTTCTCTCCCTCTCTTTCTCCCTTCCTTCACCCCTCTCTAAAAGTAAATAAGTAAAATTTTTCAGAAAAAGAATAAATCAATGTATTATAACCTAGAATAATAGAATTTGAGCCTTAGGCAAGTTTTTAGAGGCCCTGTAGTCCAACATCCGTCTATCTACTATAGTTTGATTATCAGCCTCAAACTGCAGACATACTGCATTGTTACTGGTCAGGTCTTGGTTGCTAGAAAGGTATTTTAGGAAATCACCACAATTTCCACCTCCCCCTTTTACCCGTTGATTTTAATTATTCCCCCCCTGAAACAATACAAGTTAAGTCTTTCTTCTCCACATAACAGCCTTTCATTTCCCAGGACAGTCATCAGGTCCTTTCTAGATTTATTTTAAAGTATTAAACCCTTTCTTTTGTTAGGCCAGATACCGTGAGAGTACAGTTGAAGACATACATGGCTCTCAAATTTCACGGGCTCAACAATTCAGGACAGACAGGCAGAATGTTATGAATAGATGCTGGTTATGCTGGAGATGTATAAATCCGTCCTGGTTTAATAGGATTTCAGTGTGCTTTCTTTAGGCATCTCTGTTTTTGTTAGAGTCTTCTAATGCAGTGTTTGAAATAAAACAATTTGATTTGACCTAACCAGTGTATACGGCTGTTGTCTTAGGTTATGAATGATTTTCAGACTTCATTGTACATCTGGCTCTGCCACTTAACTAGCTCTGTGACGTTGTACCTTGGGCTAGTTAAGTCATCTTTTTGTATCTTAATATTTTCATTTATAAAATGAGGGTGAAGGGAGGATGATTTTAATAGTGCCTACTTAGGGAGTTCTTACAGGGACTAAATGAGATAATATATGTGAAGTGCTGAAAATAGTGGCTAGCATATAATAAATGGGTTAATATTATAACATGTACAATTAATGTTAATAATGATGTAGTAGGAGTAGTAGCAGTAATCAAGTCACCAGAATCACTTGGAGAGCTTTTTGAAATGTAAATGGTCTGGCCTTATTTACTTATTTCTGTAATAAGTAAATAAGTAAATTACCTAGAGGTATTTGGTCAGTTAAGTCTGAATGGAGCCTGGGCACCCACAGTTTTTAACAATGCCTAGTTGACTCTTAAAATACCCAACGTTTGAGAACCCTGCACTCTGTATTAGTGTCGTTAGTGCTTGCATTGGCTTTTACAAATTTAAGAGCTTACGAAGTAATATGTGAATAGAGTTTCCTAAAAGATTAGAACAGTACAGATAAAGTGAAATACATGGCACCACATCCCAGGCACTAGCCTGGGTGCTATAGGTGTACTATTGCCAATTATTCTAGCAACATTTAAAGGCAGATGCTGTTTTATTTTATAATGAGGGGATGCTGAGACTTTGAGAAGTTGAATAATTTGGTCATGGTCCCACAGCTGCAAAGTAGCAGAGTTTGGCTTTCAGATTCTTCAGCTTCATTTTCATTTATCTGTTTATTTTCCAGTACAGGTTATTCCTCCCTCATAAAAGGTCATTGGGGCTGCCTTAAAGAAAATCTGCTCCCACCATCCAGCAGCAACTGGAGATACCTCCTTGTTAGGAAGGATGTAGAGGTGCATATATTTCACTAGTGTTTCCATAAAGGTTGATCAGATGATCTACATACCTTTTTAGACTTAAGTCCTTGAATCGAGATCTACCCTTGGACAATCCATATCAGTAAAGATCTGATACAAACGTTTTTCTTTTTAGTCTTTTATTGTGGTAAAATATAACCAAATATGCAATTTAAGCCATATTTAGGTATACAGTTTAAT